GGAAAGAACCAAACATCTGCTCAAAATTCAAAGTGACATTGAAAAATAACATGCTAACAGTCAAATGTAATGAAGACAATCCCTCAATTCCACGCATACGCAGAGAAATAACCTCATAAACTTTTTTTCCCAAGCTTTAGTTTGAAGCATCAGCAGAACAAGGTTGCCTAAGGTTGCCCAAGGAAGTTGTGGATGCCCTCTCCCTGGAAGTGTTCAAGGCCAGGTTGGATGAGGCTTTGAGCAACCTGGTCTAGTGGAAGGTGTCCCTGCTGATGGCAGGGGGGTTGGGACTGGATGAGCTTTAAGGTCCCTTCCAACCCAAACCATTCTATGATTAACAATCAAGCATTGAGGGTTAAAAACTCATTTATTACCATTGTGTGCTTCATTTATTACGATGGTGCTATCTATAGATACATTGGTTAGGTCACTGAGGTCTCTCAGAACCAAAAGCATCAGCACCCCCAGAATGACCCACTTATCCCTCTTCCTCCCCAAGTTGTGATCACAGAGATATACCAAACGGTCCCCTCCTGCCACTCAAGCTGTGCCAACTCCTCAGGACACTTCCATGAGGATGGTGGGCTGACCCTGGCTACCCACCCAGCCGCTCTCTCACTCTCCTCCTCGGCAAAACAGGGGAGAAATACAATGAAAAACTCATGGGTCAAGATAAGGACAGGGAGATCTCACTCATCAGTTACCACCACAGGCAAAACAGATTTGATTTGGGGAAGATTAATTTAATGTATTGCAAATTAATACAGAAAGTTAATTCCCTGCTGCCCCAAACTGGTAGATTTTGGCCCCAGGCACTACCCAATGTTGGTGGGGCTACAGAAATCACTGATAAGCAAAGGGATGTCTCATCTCTGTCAACATCTCAAATCTCATCTAATGATACAGAACTCCTGTCAGGTATAGCTACCTGACCAGTTCAGGAGCGGAACTCATCTGTGTACCTCAACACCATCTCTACACTGAAATTCAGCAGCTTTTTGGTAAATGTTTTCATTGTTGTTTTATCTCACTAAAAATGCCACACTAACCATTTTCCCCAAGTCAGAAGACTGTGTTCCACTTTCCTTTCCTCCTCAACATTATGTGATGAGCTGCACAAGAATGGAATTTCAGGCATTACCATGGAGAATATCTAGCACTCTCAAGACTTACAAAAGTCAGTGTGACAACACTGATGACATGCTCACAAGCCACAGAAACTAAAGAGCATGGGCTAACAGCTATCCTGGAAGCCATCCACACAGGATTGAGTTTCTCCAGCTGATCTGATGATAATTTCAGTCAGTCACCTTTTTTTCTGTTTAAAAGCTGTATATTCACACCACTAAATAGAGGCAGCTAGACCAGGAGCATACTTAAGGCTGAGGAAAAGGATCTTACATGTCAAAGTCTTAATATTTAAAGCAGTATTAACCATCAGTTGCAGTCTAGGAAGCAAGGAAGCTGTCAGTTACAGGATTCACAGCAGTTACAGCAACGATGCCAAATGGGAACAAGGAATCCCTGGAGAAAAATTTCTGATCAGGGAGAAGATTCCGGGGGCAGACAGGGGGTTTACAGTACCTGCTAAGGTGCCAGGAACTGAATCATGATGTTAAGTAAGCATTAAAATAATTAATTAATTTCCCCCATTGGTATTATACACCACAATCTTTCTTCCCTCTTTCTTTTCTTGGTGAATGTGATCTTAAACACAGGCAAGTGAGAGAAGCCTGAGCACTCCTCAAAGCTCACCGAGGGGGCACGTGCTGAGCAAAGCTCACACACAAGCCCAGAACAGCAAACCTGGTGCCACTGACAGCAGACTTGTCTTGGGCAGCCCATAGTACTCCGAGTCTGACGGCTGTTTGCTTTCAGCTGTGCTGCTAGCATTTAATTAGCACTCATTAACCACAAAAATGTGGTTGGACAGGGAGAGAAGGAACTGCAGGTAATCTGACACAGGACTCCTAAGTCCACCTGTTCCCAGTGGTGCATGTTTCTATGTATGGATGGATGTGGCAGCTTGTGGCGAGTAAATCACAAGTCACAAATATCTGTCTGACTAATTTCCTGGAAGCATATGTCTAGTACAAGGTTGTCCCAAACATCCAGTTACCTTCTGGTTCACAGAGCAAGAAAAAAACAATTTTAACATATTTTAAATATTTAACACTTGTTTGCCTCAATGTCCAATCTAGAAAATAAAAACATTTTGCAAACCATTCGGCCTTTGAGTTCAAAGCAACACAAGGCTGAAGTGCCAGATCTGCGTCACAGGAATAACTCTTCTTTCCCACTCTATCCTTTTACCATCTCAAATAAAAGACAACGTGTAACAACGTGACACTACCACATTTTTTACACTCTTCAAAAAGTATTTCACTTCCTCACATGAAGGAGTTTTGTCGCTGCCCAAAACTCACAAGGAGAAGAGCTTCTCTGATTTTCTGAAGACTCTAAAGAGCTGTAATAGGTTCGACATTTGACATTAACTCCACAGCCTGGAGTCCTTCTATATATTATGGGTTTTCCTCCTTCCAAAGTTAGCCTACTTTTTTTTTTTAAATCACAAAGAGAGATGTTTCAGAATGTCCTCTACGAAACTATAAACAGATAGTGATATATTGGTGAAAAACCTGTAGAGTAGTCATCAAGCAGATATGCTTGTGGCCAGGAAGATGAGCCACAGGCAGAACAAGCACCCCAACACCCTGTGTCACAGCCACAGCGCCTGATCAAACAGTTCTTCCCACACCAGTTCTGTTTACTGCTGAGCATGTACAGACGCTCTTGTATTTTTATTCCTGTATGTCCTGGT